ACAATTCTTCACGAAATTGAGCCCATTTCTGGACCAGATGCGGGGACAAATCTTCATCCCAATCTTTTTTCTCCAACCAGAGTTGCTGGAGTAGAGCTGTCCCACGAATCACCACCGGTGATAGCAATCCTAGAGGATCGAAGAGTTGAGCAATCTCGGACAGAATAATCCTCTTCGTTGTCTTCGTGTCGGCTGAGAGATGGATAGAGAACTTCAATCGATCTGTGTTGGGATCCCATTTCAGACCAAGGATCTTAGTGACGGAGTCCTCTAGCGGCTTCAGACTCTGAGAGAAACCGTCCGGTGTCAGAGAACGAAGTAGAGACGGACTATTCGAGTGCCACTTCGCTAGAGGAAATCCACCGGCCCAGCANAACCGTCCGGTGTCAGAGAACGAAGTAGAGACGGACTATTCGAGTGTCACTTCGCTAGAGGGAATCCACCGGCCCAGCAGAGTTCCGTCACTTGCTGAGCTACAAGATGGAGATCATCTTCCTTCTCGGCTCCACCACAAATATCATCTACATATCTGCACTGGTCAACGGTGACATAGCCAGAGGGAATCGCTGTCCCTCGTCCTTGACCAGCTGGTCGAGAACCCTACAGGCGAGAAATGGAGCAGACTTGGTCCCGTAGGTGACAGTGGTGAGCTGGTAGGTGCTGATCTGGCCCTGAGAATCGCGCCACAAAATTTGTTGAAGAGGCCAGTCTTCCTGATGCACCTTGATCTGACGGAACATCTTCGTGATGTCCGTCATAAAGATGTACTTGCTCTGTCGAGACCAGAGAAGCACGTCAGAGATGTCCTTTTGCAATTTGGCTCCAGTATGCTGAATGTCGTTAAGAGACAACCCTGAGCTTGTCTTACTGGAGCCATTGAACACTACTCTCAGCTTTGTAGTTTCACTACTTTCCCGGAGAACGCAATGATGAGGAAAGTAGTATGTAGGAGCAGAAGAGTGAGATTGCCTGAGAGACGAGCACCGACCGGGACCCTGATATGATTGCCCCCCCTCCGGGACCCTCAACCCTCCTGAAGCCGAAGCTTCATGTGCCAAGGTCATCCCGTCAGGTTGACAACCCAAGACCCGAGAAGCATATGAGGCAGGCAGAACAGGAGCACGCACCATGTGCCCCAACTCTTCATACTCCTTGAGAAAATCACTGTAAAGCTGTAGAGAATTCTGATTCTTTCCCAACCTCCTGAGCAGGCTCGAGAGACACGCCTTGGCGCGGCCTAGAGAATCACCGAGCTCTGACGGAGAACGAGCAAGAGGCAGTCGAACAACATAACGCCCCGAGCGATCTCGAACATGGGTGCGCTGAAAGAACTCCTCACAATCTGCCTCTTCCTTCGTGAGAACACCATCATTGCCTTCAGTTTTAGAGACTTCCTCCTGCTGCCAGAACGAGGTGAGAAGATCGCCAAGTTCCTCATTGCTGACAGAGACGTGATTTGAGCTTGCCGCGGGGATCACTGCGGATGTAGGTCCGAGAACCACCCACCCGAAGAGAGTAAGCATCGCTATAGGGGAGTCTGACGGCCCCTTGATAACCTGCGGCTCCACAATCGATCCAAAGAAATCTGCGCCAATGAGAAGATCAACAGGTCTTGACGTCAGATAATCAGGATCAGCTAACTCCAATCCTCTGAGATGCTCCCAATGTTGAGTTTGAGAGACCGTGAACGAAGGCAATGAAGATGTGAGATGATCGAGTACATAGGCCTTGATGAGAATCTGATTACTTGAATACAGAGACTTGAGAGAAAATCGAGAAAAACCATTAGATGAAGACTTTGATCCACTAATACCAACGACCGGTAGCAAAGCTGGAGATACCGATAAGCCGAGCTTCCCCACAAGGTCATTTGTAGCAAACGTCAGCTCTGAACCAGTATCCAACAGCATCCTAACCTCGTGAAAAGAGCCATCGTCCAAGACGAGCGAGGCTAGCGCTGTGGCGAGAATAACACCTGGTCTGAGCTGCAGAGAGACATCACGATTGTTCGGTGCTACAAACGGAGAATTACTCGCCAGAGTCGGCCGTAGAGAATGGTCACTTATCGACGACGACTCTGGCGCAATCGTTGGTAGAGTACATCATGGTTGAGCCATGTCAGGCCTCGAGACAGTGGACTGTATCGGTTGGTTGGACTGAAGAGCCTGCGATGTGTGAGGAGCCTGCAGAGTTTGATGAGGCTGAGGAACCCCTTGCTGTGCCGACTGAGGGCGATTGATATGAATCATCGAGTGATGATTCTGTCGACACACGACACAAGTCTTCTTGAGGCTACGGCAATTCTCTCTATTGTGCCTCCCCAAGCAATTAAAGCAGCGACGCTTGAGGACTACAAACGATCTCCTCTCTGTAGGAGATAAAGCCTTGAATTTTGGACATTTGTCCAGAGAATGCTCCTCTTCACACATCGGGCAAGCACGAAAACACATCTCCGCCCAACCTTGAGACTGCGACCTTTGAGCAGCTTGAGACGTACTGCTAGTAGAGACATTCACCCCTGCAGGCTGCGACGCTGGATTAGCTGACACGTTGAGCACTCGGGCTGGTTGAGCTCCTTGGCTAGGTGGATACACTTTGGTCGGCCTAAGCTTCGAAGCCTGTTGAGGATTCGTAGAGAGAGACCGAGAGGTAGCCGACTGAGATGGAGGAGCGTGCATTTCAATTCTCTCCTTCGCCCTGGCCCGGCTGAGAACAAAGTCCTTGAGAGTCGCATAAGTGGGAAAATCCGTAGACGAGCCTATCTCTATTTCCCAATCCTCCAGCGTCTTGGAGTCCAGCCGACCTGTCACGAGATGGACAAGCATGTCGTCCCAATGCTTGACAGGACGTCCGAGAGACTCCAAAGCATTCAACGCTTCAGCTACAGAGTTGAGAAGTACGTTAAACTCCCTGGCTGAGCGATTGACGACCTTTGGAGCAGAGAAGAGCTTCTCCAACTGAGTGGAGATGAGCAACCTTTCGTTGTCGTACCTCGACAAGAGAGTATTCCACGCTGGCATGAAGGAGTCTTGCGTCACTGGCAAGGTAGAGATGAGCTGCTTGGCCTCGCCAGTGAGAGAAGTGAGTAGATAGTGGAATTTCTCCACGGTAGAGAGAGAAGGATTACCGACAACCATAGAGAGGAAGAGATCCTTGTACGGAGTCCACTCCGAGAACTCCCCTGAGAATGTCGGCAGAGAAATCTTGGGCAATTGCCTCTGAGTCACCTGCGCCGATTGAGTTGTGGCAGATGGCCGACGGAACGACTCAGAGAGGTCAATTGACTCGTCCAGTCCTTTGATCAACCCCATAAACGTAGTTCGAGCGGCTGAATACGTCACGAGACATTTATCATAGACCCCCTCTTTCACGTACGCATGGTCGAGAACTTCCTCATTATCTTTTGCCGTCAACAGCTTGAGATGCAACGCGTCGAACATGCTCCAATGATTCTCGAGCATGTCTAGCTTGGACTGAAGCTCAGTCACCGTGAACTCGTTCACATTTCCGGCGACAGATTCAGCTTTCAGGCTCTCAATGAATTTCGCCCTGCTGGCCTGGATCAAGATTCTCCCCTTAAAGGACATGTTCACGCTAGAGAAATGCAAGTAAGCGAGAGAACGTCAACAAAAAACTCATAAAACAAGCGAAAATAGAGAAAATCGCAGCCAGCAGCAGCTTCAGCAATTACAATTTACTTGCGCACTACGAGGAAACGAAAAATAAGCAGAGAAAAACAACAGCTCACACTCCAAGCAGCAGCTAACAGCAGCAAAAGCAGGAAAAGTCAATAAATGAGAATAATATAATTAACTTTCCTTTGAGAAGGTCTAGTAGATGTAGAGATGCTCCAAATACAGCAGAGAGGTTCCGTCGGCAAAGCTGTAGGCCTAAAAACCACGTGTCGTGCGTCAAAATGGCCGGTCCTGTCAACTGAGGGTGTGGCCTGGTGGGTGGAGTCTTGTAGACGTCGAGATGGGCGGAACGGAGGGCGGCACGGTGGGCGGAGCAATCGAGTCTTGGCGTCCCCGGACTTTAACCCACGTTTTACCCAGAACGCACTTAGCACAATTGTTCACCAAAAAACCACTGAATTAACCACGCATCCGGCTCGAAGGACCAATGTTTCGGCGAGAAAGTCACAAAAAACGAACCGATGGAGTACTAGGATGCGGGTTAAGGAGCGTTTTTGGCGAAAAGAATGTGACACGAGACACGTCAGTTTTGTCACAATAAAACTAATTTATTTCGAGTCACACACAGTTACTTGCGTAAAAAATATTCACATAGAAATAACCGCGAGCGAACACTCGATGTATTTAACACGGTAGAGGATTACACGGGGTAGAGATGCACACGATAATTAGAGGTAAAACGTAGAGGAATTTTAGAGAACCACGCTGCTCGATAGAACGTCCGAACAGAGAGAGAGTAACAATAATCATAATTCAGAGAGAAGTAGGTCAGCGCTACAGGTGCGTAATTGGGGCACCTGTATTGGAGCGCGACCGGTCAGGCAGAGCTAGTCAAGGAGGTGCTGCCACCCCTTGGTCAGATGCGGTATGAGGCTGTTGCCTCAACACGTTTGTACTATCGAACTGAGATTAGTCTAAAAAATTCCAGCAAAATCTGTATGAAGGAATATTGTAATTGAACAACTTATTGGTAAAAGTGCAAGATTATCATTAAATTTTAGATGATAATTTTTTATCATCAGTGTTGAAATGGCTTTCCTACTTTCTCGAATTTCCTAGAAACTGAATTCTCTTCAATTTTCTAGAAACTCCTTGAATTCCTTCGAATTTTCTAGAAATTTGCTGAAATTCCTCAAGAAACCAGGGGTTTTCTAGAAACCCCTTGAATATTTTCAAAATTTCAAGAAAGGTCTCGAATTACTTCGAAATATCTAGCTTTTCTAGAATTCCCTAAACTGACCCCCCACATTGAAACCATAGACGTATCGACGGCAATATCTAGATTGACCTTACCATTGCACCAGAGTGTAAATATATACTATTTATTTTACACGATGTTAACTCTTTGATTGTCAATTTACTACTGACGGCGGAGCCTGCTATATAACTAAGGAAAATCAACGAAAAAACGGAAATTAGGTAAACAAAATGATGAAAAAGAGGTAATAAAAATTTCAAGTCAACCAACTTGGCGTGCGATTTTTTAGGAGCTAAAAAATAAAACCCAACTCATTCATTCATTGTTTTTAGTACCACAGTCCGACAAAATTTTGGTCCTTTTTTATTAGGTGTATCGTTTAATTCTCGGCCCCTAGAATAAATTGATCAGAACACCTATTTGAATTAAAAGAATTCCCCGCAATAAACGTGTGGCCCCCTCGCCTCCCTCGGCTTCCACTTCGCCTAGGGACTTGACCGTCAGGCCTCAGCAGCGCCAGCGGCGTAAGCAGGAGTTAGTGCTCCGGCCTGAGTTCGACTGACGGTCGATAAAACAGTACTCTTGCCACGCGTACCCATGTGCCCACGCCACAGCCCCAGCAAAGTCTTTTTGTATCAATTATTCTACTTACCTTAAGTGTATTAAATAAATATTCAGTTGACAGTATCCCGCAATCTTTATTCTACGGAAATACTCTCACATTTCCTACAAAATTGGTGACCCCGACGTGATTCTTCCGGATATTGTCACTAATCTCTAAACTGCACGTGCAGCATCTCATTATGTCGCTTCCCAGGACACCTGCAAATACCAATCGCACAATGCTCGTGCTGAGTCCTCAGCCTGACAACAGCAGACAGCAGTTCAACCTGTCATTGATCGAGCTGGAGGATTTCACAACGAGCCTCATCTCCAACGACAACACGAGGACACAAACCAACGCAAATCCCCAGGTTCTGGCCCACGACAACATCAACAACAACATCCAGCCTCTTCCAGCCTTGATCAGTACACTTCCAACTCACCCATGCAAACTCACAAAGTTCATTAGAACAAATCTAAATCAGAGAAATATCATGTCGTCATCAATCATCTTGAAGCTAACGTTCTAGATGAGATTTCAGACATTTTACTAGACCCTCTCGTCGAAAACCAGTATGGTTATTTCAAGGAGGAGATCCGGAAGCGCTTCACCGACTCAGCAGACAAACAGCTCGAAAAGGCATTGTCTCAGCTGACTCTTGGTAATCAAAAGCCTTCCCAGCTCCTTCGCAAAATGAGAGCCTTAGTAGCAGGACGAGCCTCTGAGGACATTCTACGGGTCAGATGGCTTTCCCTCCTGCCCCTCGACGTTCAGAGAATTCTCAAGGCCACCAGGTTCACAACCTTGAGCGACTTCACCCCCGTCGCAGACGAGCTCATGGAAGTCTCCTCGACAGCATCGGTGATGGCCGCATCCTCTCACGCAAGGTTTGCTGTGCAAAAAAGCTCAGACCCAGTGACCACTGAACTCGCAGAGCTCAGACAGGCAATGACACAACTCATTAACCTTAACCGGACCATGGCAGAGTCCCTCGAGAGACTGCACATATCTTCGAGGTCCAAGTCCAGGTCTCGAGCCCCTTCAATATCACGCTCTTCATCGCCAGCGCCACAAGGTATGTGCTTCTACCACGCGAGGTTTGGATCCAAGGCACGTCGCTGCTTGCAACCACGCAACCAGCCTCCACCTCTCCCAACACTTCCTCAGGGAAACTAAAAACGCTGTCGTCAGTTCTGGCAGTGGGCGACAGCGCCTTCAATAACAATGACCACGACATCAGAGAACACCACCTATTTTTCTTCGATCCTTTAACAAAGACCCAATTTCTGGTCAACACAGGCTCTGTTATCTCCATCATACCCAGAGCAGCGACTCAACCCCAGGAGAGACCAGCAGAGTTGAAGCTCTACGCTGCCAACGGTACCACAATTGACACCTTCGGACAACGAGTGCTCACCCTTAACCTCGGATTACGTCGCGCTTTCAAATGGTCATTTACTGTTGCAGACGTCCAGACAGCGATCATTGGAGCAGACTTTTTGGTGCATTTCGGCCTGCTAGTCGATCTCCAAGACCGCAGCCTCTTTGACAAGACAACTAATCTTCAAGCCCCTGGTCAGCTGTGTGAGATTTCTATCTACAGCGTCTCCCCAGTTAAGCAGAGCCCCAAGCTTCCCCCATTTTATAGCGAGCTTCCACAAGTACATTGACGTCACAAAGCCAGCAGCGATCCCATCCATCAGCACCAGCAGTCGAACGGCTCACCACATCCCTACGACTGGTCCCCCAGTAGCAGAGCGACCACGTCGTCTTGCTGGCGAGAAGCTCCAAGCAGCCAAAGACAACTTCGACCTTCTCTTGCAGTACGGCGTTATTCGCCCCTCCAGTAGCTCCTGGGCCAGCCCAGTCCACATGGTGCCAAAGAAAAATGGTGGCTGGAGAGCCACAGGAGACTACAGACAGCTGAATCGGCAAACACTGCCCGATCGTTACCCAATTCCACACATTGAGGACGTCATCCAATCCTGTCACGGCAGCAGCATCTTCACAACGCTCGATCTGGTACGAGCGTACAATCAGATCCCTGTCGCTACCGACGACATCGCAAAGAACGCCGTCACCACGCCCTTCGGTCTTTTTGAGTTTGTCGGCATGCCCCCTGGGCTGTGCAACGCAGCACAAACCTTCCAAAGACACATGGACGGCCTTCGGGACATCGACTTCGCTGCATACTACATCGATGACATCATAATCTTCTCCAAGGACCCTGAAGAGCATCAGGGACATGTGGAGACCATCCTCAAGCTACTGCTGGACAACCACCTGTCCATCAACCCCAGCAAGTGCCAGTTCGGTCAAGAAGAGGTTGAATACCTAGGTTATATATTATAAATAAACATGGATAGTCACCTCCACCAGCCAAGGTTGAGACTATCCTGCAGTTCCCCAAGCCCGAGACAATTGAGGATCTACGCCGATTTCTCGGGATGGTGAACTACTATCGACGTTGCATTCCCCAAGCAGCTGCCATACAAGCTCCTCTCAACGATCACCTGAAAAATGCCAAGAAGAAGGACAAACGCGAGGTGCCATGGACTCCAGAATCGGAGGCAGCTCTGGAGCTGTGCAAACAAAGAGTTGCCTCCGCAGTCAGAGCGTCATTCCTGTTCCATGCAGCACCATTGGCCCTGTCAACAGACGCCTCTGACTCAGTAATCGGAGCAGCCCTCGAGCAGTTCGTGAATGACAACTGGCAGCCCCTGGGATTTTTCTCGAGAAAACTGAGCCCCACGGAGACTCGTTACAGCACGTACGACCGCGAGCTTCTGCCCATTTTCTCTGGCATCAAGTACTTCAATCACATAGTCGAGGGCCGTGAGTTCGTTGTCAAGACAAACCACAAACCCCCGTCTACGCTTTTCATCAACGTCCAGAGAAAGCATCACCGAGACAGGTAAATCAGCTCAATTTCATCTCTCAATTCACTACTCAGATCCTACACGTCAGAGGCGAAGAGAACATTGTAGCAGATGCCCTGTCTCGAGTGAATTCCATCAACATGCCCAAGAACCTCAGCTCAGAGGTCATCCACGAGGCTCAGCAGGAAGACGACGAACTACCGCAACTCCTCACCAGCAGCTCTCTCAAGCTCCAGCCCATTGTAATCGAAGGTCGCGAGATCTACTGCACCACATTCACTGGATATCTGCGCCCCTTCATTCCAGGTGCTCTCCGCCAATGTGCATTCAAGGTTATCCATGACCTGTCGCATCCATCTGGCCGAGTCACATCTCGTCATCTGAAGGAGAAATTCGTCTGGCCTTGGGATCAAACGAGACGCCATTCGCTGGTCACGTGAGTGTTCACCCTGTCAAAAATCCAAGGTGCAGAGACACAATCGACTCGATCCGATGCACATCGATGTCCCAGACAACCGATTCGACCACATCCACCTCGACATAATCGAGCTTCCACGAGTGAACGGACTCCGCTATTGCTTAACAATGATCGATCGATTCACCCGCTGGCCTGTGGCCATACCTCTCCAACATTGAGGCAGACACCATTGCCACTGCTTTCTACGGACATTGGATTACGCAGTTTGGCACCCCGCTCACAATTACCACCGATCAGGGTAGCCAGTTTGAGTCGAGACTCTTCACGGCTCTCGCTCGCATGGTTGGAGCAAACAAGATCCATACTTCTCCATACCACCCCCAGTCCAATGGGATCCTGGAGAGATGGCATCGGACAGTCAAGGCCGCACTTATGTGCAACGNCAGTCCAATGGGATCCTGGAGAGATGGCATCGGGCAGTCAAGGCCGCACTTATGTGCAACGTACCAAAACCCTGGCCCGAGCTGCTTCCCACCGACATGCTCGGCCTGCGTACCTGCATCAAGGAGGACCTGACCGCATCACCAGCTCAACTCCTTTACGGTACTGAGCTCAGGATTCCTGGAGAATTTTTCGTCTCAGAAGACCTCCCAGCGAACCCGAAGTTTTTCCTGGAGAAGTTCAGAGAACACATCAGGAAAGTTCGTCCATCACCCACCGCTCATCACATCACAAGCCGCTGTTTTTTCTTGAAAGACCTCTACACCTCCACCCACGTCTTTGTGAGGATTGACGCAGTCAGAAAACCGCTCGAGCTGCCTTATTCTGGCCCCCACCGAGTCGTCAGGAGGATCGATGACCGCAACTTCGTTATTGACCTAAACGGCACTGAAAAGAGTATCTCGGTAGACCGACTCAAACCAGCATATGTTGCCAAAGAGTCAGCTTCGCCCCCAGCATCTCCAGAGGAGCCCAGCTCACCTGCAGCACCTGAGAAACCCAGCCGACCAGCTTCACCACCACCAGTGCCTGATTCATGCCCATCAAACACGATGGACAGGCCCTTGAGAACGTACCCTGCAAGGAAGAGAATTTCGTTCCCTTCATCTGTACCAGACCAGGTCACTGGAGAGGGAGTAGATGTGGCCCCCTTACCTCCCTCGGCTTCCACTTCGCCTAGGGACTTGATCATCAGGCCTTAGCAGCGCCAGCGGCGTAAGCAGGAGTTAGTGCCCCGGCCTGAGTTCGACTGACGGTCGATAAAACAGTATTCTTGCCACTCGTGCCCATGTGCACACGCCACAGCTTTAGCAAAGTCTTTTTGTATTAATTATTCTACTTACCTTAAGTGTGTTGAATAAATATTCAGTTGACAGTATCCCGCAATCTTTATTCTACGGAAATACCCTCACATTTCCTACAAACGGCATTTTGAAGCGCCATCTGTGAACTATCAAACCACTCAAGTCTGATTGTGGTGTAATTAACACAACCTCAAAAAACATACTGAACAAAAAAGTCGTTCGACAAGCAGCACTTGAAGCACTGCCTTCTTTTCACCTTCCAACTTGAAAAAAACTGCCACAGAAGCACAAGAAATGATTCGTTCGGCCTTGGAAGCGAGTACTGTATCTTATAGCACATGGAAAAAGTGGTTTAAAATATTTCGGCATGGAAATTTTGATCTCAAGGATGAGGAATGTCCTGGGCAACAAAAAAAAATTGAGGGCGAGGAGTTGGACAAATTATTCAATAAAAATCCCTATTAAGCACAACTGGGATTACATGTCTAATTAACATACGTAAATTTCAACACAAACAAATTCAACACACAAATTCAACACACACATTCAACACAGTTTTCAACATAGTTTTCAACAAAATCATTGTTTATGAACATTGATTTAATGACAAATCTCAAATAGCAGAACAACAATACAGTGGATTACATCAATCAAAGTACAAATATCAATCAGTAATACAGCATATTTCATGAATAACAAAAAAATAAAAACAAAATGATCACAATGAAACTTGACATCAGAACACAACACTGAACTGTTCAGTGTGTGTTTGTGTGGAGAGTCTGTGTGAATTATTATCTTGACTCACAACGCTTCACAGAGAATCATAACTAGAAAACCTTTCAATCATCTGACTTCTTAATCAAACCACAAATTCGAATATTGCTGGCTTGAGCATGCAAATAATCAATAACATCACTGTTGACATCAAAACTCTTCGTTGCCGAGCAACTGGAGCGATGCTCCTTCCTCCAGCACGCTGACGAAATGCAGCTTCAGTCAAACTCCTGCAACGCCCTGATCAAATCTCCCATAGATGGATTAGAAACCTTGATTTGCCTATTGAATCGAGTGTGCCAACCTTCCACTCCATTGTTGGTCCTTGGCTAATCGCTCATTACTGAATCATAACAATTCCACCATTCAATTGCAAACTGAGGTGCAGTGCGACCAGAACGTTTCTTCCTTCCGACCCAATTGCACTCGAAATATTTGATATACTCCCCCATTACATCTTTTTTCTCCTCATAGTAATCAGAGGAAATGAGCTCCTCATAAGCCTCAATAACTTTCCCAGGTGGTACAAAGGTGAGACCCATAAACCTTTCAATAAATTCACAGAAGTCACTATCATTTCGATAGCGTGGGGCCAATCCACACGTACCATCATGTCGATAAATACATTGGATGAAATGAAAATAACACCCACTAAAAGCAGCATCAGGAGAACACTCCTTTACAGCTTGAATAAAAGCAAGCCCATAATCAGACATTACATGTTGTGGATTAATGTCCTCATGGGCCTCTTGAATAGCACGCAAAATTTTTTTATACACCCCCTTCGTCTTCGAAGAGTTAACAGCATAGATCAGAGGAATTGACTTCCCATCAACCAGCCCGTGGATAGTATATAATTGTTTAAATATACCTGGGACAGTCCAAAAGGTCCCATTACACTGCCATGTATCACACCTGGCCAAACATTGGATAGTTTTTTCTGTAGCAAAAATAAAAAAAACGCTTAGCTTTCTCAGGACCACTAACAAAAAACAGGAACTCCTTCCCACGAAGCGTTTTTCGAAACTCATCTGGAATAACTAATTCTCGCAATAAAGATGGGGTGGGGAAAAGAGGATTACTTACTGCTCGAACCCGTCGCACGTTTCGCGACAAAAGATCAGCATCAGGCAGCTCCATTACTGCACTCGTCGATGCATCGGCGACAGCGCATCGACAATTTTAGACGTCAATTCACGAGTCTTCTTCGCTTTTTTTCATCTTTGCCAACACTTCCTTCGCCTCGACCTTGGCTGGGTCAACCCCATGACTGTGTTCATCCATTGAAATTAAAGATCCTACAACAGACGAAACGCTTGACTTTAAGTCACCACTTGTGCACTCAAAACATCAAATAACATATTAATGTACCTGATTTTTTATCTGAAGTCGTACAAGCAAGAGCATTACAATGCAGTTCAGTGTGATACTCAATGCAACCCCAAGTCATTTTACTTTTCCCAACTCGCACACGGCAGTGGATAAAACCATCGTGTGTCAATAGGCGTTTACCTCTTTGACTCAGCACAAAATATAACGGCTTATCTCGTTACTCTTCGTAATAACATCGAACAATGACCCGAAAACTATCAAATACCCCGCAATCCAGGTAGTCCAATGCTATGAGCCATCGCAATACTAATCCCTCAGCTGTTATCACTGGCAGACAATATCATAACGAGATAAACCTTACAATACACTCATACGCACAAAAACACACGTGTTGAATTTGTATATGTTAAATCAACAAGTGTTGAAAGTGCATGTGTTGAATTTGTGTGTTATGTTAAATTTACGTGTGTTATGTAGACCTGTAATCCATAACATGAGCTTGCTGATACTCTTGGAGTGACTGAACCAGCTATTTCGGTGCGTTTAAAAATAATTGGGAGGATAAAGAAGGAAGATCGCTGGGTGCCCCATTATCTTACTTCAGAAAACAAAAGTCGACGCTGTGAAATTGTAATGTGCCTACTGACCAGATTTAAACAAAAAGACTTTTTTTTACATAAAATTATGACTGGGGATGAAAAGTGGATATTTTACGACAATCCTAAGAGGCGAAACTCGTGGGTTTATCCGAGGGAGCCGTCATCGAGCACTGCAAAACCGAATATTCACGGGAAAAAATTGTTGTTGTGTATTTGGTGGGATTCCAAAGGTGTAATCTATTATGAGCTACTCGAACAGGGGGAAACCGTCATTACTAAACGTTATCAGGACCAACTGGTAAAATTGAGTGATGCTATTGAGGAAAAGAGACCTTTCACGGGAAGTGGTACGAGACAAGTGATTTTGCTGCAGGACAATGCGCGGCCACACATGGTAAAAGAAACCCTGAAACTCATCTCCACGTTGGGCTGGAAGATTCTCCCACATGCGTCGTATTCTCCAGACCTTGCGCCTTCTGACTATCGCCTTTTTCGAGCGCTGCAACATCACCTGGTGGATGCCCAGTTACGATCTCCTGAAGAAGTCCGGCAGAGCATTGATGACTTTATCCAGTCAAAACCACCATCGTTCTTCCGAGCCGAAATCCGAGAATTGTTCGATAGATGGGAGAAATGCATGCAAAATGACGGTGATTATTTTCAAGATTAGATCTGTATTCATGTTTTTATAAATAAATGTCAGCATTGTCGAAAACAGGCCGAGAATTAATTTATACACCTAATACCTAGACATGAAACGACCCCGTTACTAGAAAGATTTTTTCGTGCTGATTCCGAATCTGGCGGCCGTTTCCCCCGAAAAGCGATCGTTGGGCAGAAAAAAATATTAAAATTGCGGAAATGGCTTAAAACCGTACTTTTCTAAACTCAATGTCAAAATAATCCCTACACCAATTAGATTTTTAAAAAACTGGTGAAAATATGGAATTAAGGCCTATGGTTTGATGATGAGTTTTCAAAATTGAATTTCCTCATTATTTCTAGAAAAATTCAATAAAAATGCTATTCAACACCTCGCACAGCATTACGGCGGAGCAGTCTGAAGTTGCACTCCCACGTAGAATTCAAATTCTCAAACTTTAAGGGTTATCTATTGGAAAAGGGTTATCCACAGGAAAACCAAACTCCACCGAGGTGGAAACATTAAGACGACTCGTTATCCTCGTACAGGCTTATCTTGATCTTTGGCGAAACGGATTATCGAGGTACGGCCATATGAATAAATTGATTTGGCGTAGAATTAGTGAGCAAGTGACTCCCCCAAGTTCAGGTATTCACTTTTGATGAGTGTAATATGAGAATCAACCATATAAAATTAATGAGGTTATTATGTTTCCGTCTCCAACAGGGTATTTGACTTTTTGCAGATTCCTTACATTACGAGATCTCGAACGCGAAGAGAGGTGGATGAATCCCGATGGTGGATTCACGGTGGATGACGGTGGATGACGTTTTATAATATCGACGTTCCAGAGTAGAATCTCACTTGAAATTTCCATTATTGTCCATCAGTTTCTTCAGCTGGGGGCCTATGGAAATTCCAGCCTTTATCTTGGCCATACTCAGCTTTGGGAATAAAGATTTGAAATAATTGAAAGCTTCTCCATCTTTTTGCAGCCCTTTCACAAAGTTTTTAATGAGCCCGAATTTGATATGTAGCAGTGGTAAACAATTTTTTTCTGGCTCAACAAGTGATTGTTGAATGATGTTCTATTTACCAGCAGTAGAAACTTGATCAATAATTTTCTTTCTCCCGGCTATCCCAATTGCACACGAAACAACAATATTTTGTCCAACCCAGCTATATTCCCATTACAATGGCCACCATTTTCAAATCCGCCGAAATACACCAGTTGTAATACTTGTATCCAATCCTTTCGAACAAGTACTCGATGTTCTCATGACTTTCATTGAGGGACGTAGACTAAGCGATGGGTAGAGATGGATAAATATTCCCAATATGACGCAGAACGGTTTTCAAAATCGTACTTGATGCGTCAACGAACAATCGCCATTCTTCTGGATCGTGCTCTGTCCTCATACTCCTCATTAACCCATCAATATCAATGCAATAGCAAAGGGAAGGTTCTTCCTGGAAGAATTGCAGTAAGTGAAAATCACAATCGCGATATTTCCCCATACGAAATTCTGATGACGCAAAACTCTTCT